CCCTACGACGTCCGCCCCTACTTCTCCTGCCTCAAGCAGACCCTCGAGAACCTCCACGACGTCGGCCACTCGACGGACGCGGTGAAGAAGGACTAGGGGCGCGCCCGTAGCGGCGCGCGCCCCGCCTTCGCTCCCCGGGTACATAGTAACCTCCGTTCCCCGTTAGAAAATGGCCTCGTTGAAGCGCCGGAGCTTCACGGCGTCCCAGTCCGCGCCGCCCTCGTCCCGCGCCACGAGCAGGCGGCGCTTCCGGCCGCGGCCGGCGACGTGCCGCGCGAGCCAGCCCACGCGGCCCGTGATGTACGGTGTCTCGTCGTGGCGCACCTGCGGCGACGCCATCCCGCCCGCGCGGCGGAGAGGACGCGGCGACGGCGCGATGCCGATCCAGTAGTCGCCCATGCCGACGGCCCGCGGACCCCGGAGCAGGCAGAGGAACTCGTTGATCGTGTCCGCCTGCGGCGCGCGACCGGTCGGCGCGGGCCCGCCGCCCGAACGCCGCGGCGGCGCCTCGTGGCGCTCGCAGCCGAGCGGGAGCCGCGAGCCCTGGACGTCGAGCCGCGTCCCCCAGGGCATGTAGGGCGACTCCGCGAGCGCGGCCCTGACCTCGGCCGCGAGGTCCGCGTCGTCCGCGAGCCGCGCGTGCGCCTGCGCGACGCACTGCCGCGCCACGTCGCGGAGCTCGTCGTCGTCGGCCGTCCGCGGATGCCCCGCGGACCCGGAGAAGACCATGACCTCGAGGCGCTCGAAGAAGTCGCGCCACTGCTCCGGCAGGACGTGCGCGTCGGCCGGCATGCGCTTCGCGCCCGTCCAGCCCACCATCGTCCACGGCGCGCGAACTACGAATGGAAAGAGTTCAGGGAGTCGGGGCAGCCCATGCCTCTCAAAATAAAAACTTCAGGTACAAAATGTATCAAACACACCCCAGCGCTCCCCGGCATAACTGGGGCTGCCCGCGTCGTCGGCCGGTGCCCCCGCGGCGCGCCGCCGCACCGGAGCCATGGCGTTCTTCGGCATCACGAAGCTCGGCCCGCAGAACTCGTTCCAGGATTCCCTGAAGAAGGCGTCGGTCATCGAGTGCTTCACCCAGGGCGAGTTCGAGGCCGCCTACGCCAAGGTCGCGCGCCTCTCCGGCGAGGCGATCACGGCGGCCAAGGTGGCGGAGATCCTGGCCGTCGTCTACCACGGCCCGGCGCCGGAGACCGACGCCGCGCGCATCGGCGGCCAGCTCGCGGGCTACGCGGCGGACGACGCCCTGCCGCTCGACGCGTTCCTCGGCGCCGTCGCGGCGGCCAAGGCCGAGGAGGTCTCCTGGGAGTCGACGCAGAAGAACATCGTCTCCGCGGGCAGCGAGTTCGCCAGCTCCAAGTTCTACCGCGACCACATCACGCGGCACACGCGCATGGATTCCAACCCGAACGAGAAGTACAACCAGCCCGTGACGGCCAACATGGAGATCGGCTGGTCGCCGCCGGAGTCCTACTCCGCGCCGCGCGCGGCGAAGAAGTCCTGCGAGGAGACCGTCTACGCGGCGGAGCTCATCAAGGCCGGCGTCTACTACTAGGCCGAAGCGGCGCGCGCCGCGGGCGCGCCGCGTAACCCCGTCGAGCGCCCGGGGGGACACGCCGGCTGGGGGGCTCGTGTGCGAGGGGCGGATGGCGCGCGACCGCGACCGCTGGCGACGTCCTCGAACGGGGCTTCGCGGCTCTTTGACGTCAACTTGCATTTTGACTTTTCAACTGAGCTCATTCATATGGGCGCATCCGTGGAGCCTATGGGCGCCTGCCGGCGAGGCGTGCGAAGGCCGTGACCGCGCCGCGCAGCGCAACGCGTAAGAGCGCGCCGCGCACCAAGACCGCGCGCGTCGCGCACCAGGCGCGCGGGCGCCATGGCCGAGCGGCGGTTCCGGTCCTGGGCCTGGCGCGCGGCCATGGACTCGCTGGGCCACGTCGACCTGGGCGTCGACCCCGACGCCGTCGAGGCGGAGGACGCCCTGGCCCTGAACCTCGAGGGCGCGGCGCAGGCGCCGTCCGGCGCCACCGCGAACTGCCTCGTCGTCCTCGTCGAGTCGATGCTGCGCTACGACGACGCGGACGCGGTCGTCGCCGTCGCGGACCGCAGCGCGCGCATGGTCGCGCAGATCCACGAGCGCGCCATGAAACGCCTCGGCAACGACATCCGCTCCGGGTCCGTGCTCGTGCTCCGCGGCGCGACGATCGTCGCGTCGGCCGCCGGCCGGTCGCTCAACGTCCACGACGACGACGTCGTGCTCGCGCTGCCGCCGGACACGCCGCCGCCGCCCCACGCGCGGGCGCACCTCCGGCGGCGGCGGGCCCTCGGCGCGCCGCCGCCGGAGCGCCTCGCCCTGCCGCCGGCGGAGCCGGAGCCGGAAGCGGCGCCGCCGCCGTTCGAGGACCCGCTCTCGCAGCTCCTCGCGACGGCGCCCGCGGAGGACCCGCTCTCGCAGCTCCTCGCGACGGCGCCCGCGGAGCCGTCGCAGCTCCCAGCTCCGCCGCCCCTCGACGGCGCCTGGGCCGACGCCTGGGCCGCGCGCGGCCCCGCGGGGCCCTGGGCGTCGCAGGTCCGCGCCGCGGCCGCGTGCGAGGTGGACGACCTCGCGCGCGCGCGCGACGGCTGCGGCGCCGAGGTCGCGCGGCTCCGCCTCGAGGCGCCGAGCGCCGCGCGGACCGCGGCGCTGAAAGCGAACGCGCTCCGCGTCGACCTCTGCGACGACGCGCTCCGCGCGCGCGGCGGCGGCGCGGCGCGACGCTACGTCGCGCCCGGCGACGGGCCGCGCTGCGTCTGCGGCGAGGACCGCGGCGGCCTCGACTACTGCGTCGCCTGCGGCGAGTGCGCCGCGGCCGCGCCGCCGCCGGCCGCGCCGCCGCCGGCCGCGGCGCCCGCGCCGGCGCTCACGGCGACGCAGCGGCCTCCCAGGACGCGACGGACGCGCTCCTCGACGAAGCCGACGACGGCCTCCCCGGCCCGCCGCGGCCGCCGCGACCGCCGTCTCCGCCGCCCGCCGCGCCGCCGCCGCCGGAGCCGAAGCCGCCGTCTCCGCCGCGCGCGCCGCCGCCGCCGTCTCCGCCGCGAGCCGCGAGCCCGCCGCCGGCCGCGCCCAAGTGGTCCTGCGACGCGTGCACGTTCAAGACCCTGGCGTCGGACTCGACGTGCGACGTCTGCGACGCGCCGCGGCCCGGCGGCGCGCCGCCGGCCCCCGCGCCGCCGCCCGAGCCGCCGAACGACGCGGACGCCGTCGACGACCTCCTCGACGGGTTCGGCTGTTAACCTCGGAGTGGACCGACGTTCCAGCGCGAAGGACGGGGGGCGGGGGGGGCGCGGCGGCGGGCTCACTTGGCCTGGGCGACGAGGACCTTGAGCGCCGCGTGGAGCGCCTTGGCCTCGTTCGGCGTCGCGCACTGGACGTCGAGCGTGCGGTCGGGGAGGATGAGGGAGAAGGCCTGCTTGCCGACCTCGGGCCCGAGGGCGGACTTGCGGAGCGTCTCCGTGCCGGCCATGCCGCCCGCGCGCTTCTCCGACGCGCCGATCGTCGTCGGGTCGAGCTCCGTCGCGAAGCGGACCTCTTGCACGTCCTTGAGCGCGAGCATGGTCGCCTCCTTCTGGCCGGCCTTCCAGCCGAGCTTGTCGCCGGCGCCGCTGAGGACGAGCGCGCGCGGGCGGATGCGGCCGTCGCGGCAGTGCTTGAGGACGGGCACGCCCGCGGCCCCCCGGAGCTCGGCCTTGACGGCCTCGAGGTTGACGACGACGGAGTCGGCCCGCATCACGGGGCTCTTGGGCGTCGCGGCGGCGGCCGTCGCCGCGGCGCCGGGCGCGTCCGACGCCTTCGCGGGGCTCTCGTTTCCCTTGGCGAGCTCGGCGGCCGACGGCTCGAAGACGGGCTCGCCGCGCGCGGGCGCGGGGGGGAAGTCGCGGGACGCGAGGCTCGCGGCGGGGTCGGGCGTCGCGACGTCGTCGAAGGGGCCGCCGGCGGGCGCGACCTGCGGCGCCGGCGTCGGCGCCGAATCTTCGACGTGGACGGACACGACGAAATCGCTCACGTTCGACGACGACACCTCCGTGCGCTCGAAGCTCGGGGAGTCGCGGCCGATGTTCTCGTCGTAGCAGAAGCAGGAGAGGAGCGAATCCTGGATGGGGGTCGTCGACGGCGCCGGCGCGGCGGCCATAGTTTTCGACGTAAATTTCAGATCGGCAAAAATTCAGCGAGCGAAACGGCAGCGGCGCCCGTGCCTGCGCCTCCGACAATCCCCACGACGCAAAGCAGCCGATACTTACACTTGGGGTCTCGGCGGGGCGCGTCGTGCGAGGGGCTTGGTCCCCCCGCGGGGTGCTTGGTCTTCTTGGCGCCCGCCTCAGAGGTCGTCGAGGTGGATCTCGACGCGGCGGTTGAGGTAGTTGTCCGCGGACTCCGTGTCGTCGACGCAGCGGCGCGAGCCCGCCATGCCCTCGCAGTCGATGCGGCCCGCGTCGACGCCGCGGGCGACGAGCGCGGCCTTGACCGCCGCCGCGCGCGAGAGCGAGAAGGCCACGGCGCCGCCCGAGGCGCCGAAGGTGCGCTGGCACGTGTCGTTGGCGCAGACCGTGGTGCCGTCGCAGTCGAGGCCGCACTTGGAGTTCGTGTGGCCCTGGAGCACGAGGCCGTCGACGTTCTCGTGGGACGTGAGCACGGCCGCGAGCTGGTCGATGAGCTCGAGGGACTCGGGCTTGATCTCCGTGGCGTTGCCCGCGAACTGGACGTCCTCGGAGAGCCAGAGGCGCTTCGCGCCGACGTTGAGCGCCACGGACGACCGGCGCCGGTCGGCGGGCGCGACCGACGGCCGGTCGAGGACCGACGCGCGGCCGCCGCCGGGCGCCGGCTCCGGCGGGCACACGGAGCAGCGGTCCGCGGGCGCGAGCGACGCGGCGCGCGGCGCCGGCAGCGCGCAGTCCGGGCAGAGCGCGTAGCCCGCGTCCGCGTCCGCGTAGGACGTCTCCGCCAGCCCCGACGCCGCAGAGGCCGCAGGCCGCGCCGGCCGCCGGCGGCGCCACGCGCAGCTCGAGGGCGCGGTCGTGGGCCGCGTGCTTGACGACCTCGGGCAGGCTGTGCTCGAAGACGGCCGTCGTCGTCTCCGTGACCGCGTCGCTCGTCTCGGCGTCGACGCCGCGCGCGGCGAAGACGTGCGCGCCCGGGACCGCGATCTCGAGCGACACGGCGCCGCCGTCCGCGCGGACCCAGTCGCCCTCGGCGGCGTCGCCCTTGCGGCGGTGGTAGTACTCGAGGACCTGGCCAGCGTCGCGCGGCGAAATGCGGACGACGAGCGCGCGGAGCTCCGTCGCGACGTTCGAGAACGCGGGCCCGGGCAGCAGCCCCAGGTCCTCGCCGTCGTCGTCGTCGTCCTCGTCGCCCTCGGCGAGGCTCGCGCGCGGCTGCCACGCGCGCGTCGACAGGCGCCGGTCCTTCGCCTCGTCGAAGCGCCGGAGCGCGTCCTCGTAGAGGCTCACGAGCGAGCCGACGTCCGCGCGGAGGCCCTCCGTGCGCGCCTTGGACAGCTTGAGCTGGCGCTCGGCCTCGATCTGCGCGAGGTGGCCGTCGCGGAGCGCCGCGACGCGGCCCTTCTGCTGGCGCAGGCCCTCGAGGGACTTGCGGCACTTGGCCGGCGGCGCCGCGGCGCCGCCGTCGTCGTCGTCGGCGAGCGCGGGGATCGTCGACGCGGCCTCGAGCGCCGCCGCGGCCTCGGCGCGCTCCAGGGACGCGCGCCGCGCCGCGGCCTCGGCCGCGGACCGCGCCGGCGCCGGCGCCGGCGCGAAGACGGCGGAGCCGGACGCGCGGCCCGACGACTCGCGCGCGGGCGCCTCGGACGCGCGCGCCGCCGCGGCCCACTTGGCGCGCTCCTGCGCGACGCGGCCCATGGGGATGACCTCCTTGGCCCGATCCGCGTGCGACTCGCACCGGTCGGCGCTCGACCGGCCGCCGGCGCGCTTCTTGCCTGCGAGCGCGCGCGCGTCGGTCCGCGCGCGCCGGACGAGGCCGCGGAGGCGCCCACGCGCGACACCGCGTCTCGCGCTCCGACTCGACGTGGCCGCGGCCCTCGAGCGCGACGACGGACGCGCGGCGCTTCTTCGTCGTCGACGGCGGCATGTCGTCGACGAAGAGCTCCTTCTGCGGCGACGGCGCCGCGGGCGGCGCGACCGGCGACGGCGCGGCGGGCGTCGGCGGGGGCGGCTTCAGCGGCGACGGGGACATGAGCGGCGCGGCCCCGTTCGTCGCGTCGGCGAGCGCCTCCTTCGGCGCGGCGTCCGAGTCCACGGACAGCGAGGCTTCTTCGCGCGTCTTCGCGTCGGCGTGGGACGCCTCTTCCTCGGCCGTGAAGATGTTCGACGCGCCGCAGCTCCCGCGCGGGAGGCCCGGCGAGAAGAGCGGGAAGGGGTCCATGTCTAACTGTGGTTCGCTACCTGCGAAGCGACGTTCTGCGCGACGCGCGACTGTTACTTCTGCGCGACGCGAGATAACGGTCGTTAAAACGCGTCAAGTTGGTCTCGCGATACGACAGCGTATAGGCGGCGACGCGAGGGACTCACTTGGCAGCAATGACCGCGCGATGAGCGGCGGCGTCGACGAGCCGTCCGGGAGCCGGAGCCGATCGACAACGAGTTCTTCAACCATCGAGGCAACGAGGATTCAACAAGACGCGGAACGCCGTGCACTTACTAATCGACGGACCAAGTTGCAGTGAAATGTATCGCTCGGCTGAAACGTCGTCTTTTGATGGAGACGATGTGGTTGGTCGGCGGAGCGGGGCTGCGTCTGGGGTCTGGGGCGCCCGAAGGTACTATGCCCGCGCGGCTGCCGGCCGGAATCGGGGCGACGAGAGAGGGGTTCGCTTGGCATAGTACCTTCGAGCACCCAGAACCTCGCCGCGGGGACCGCCTCGCGCGCGCGGAGAGAGAGGGGAAAATGATCTCGGCTTCTGCGTGCTCCCGAGACGAGCGGGCTGAAGCATTTGGGATGCTCGACCCCGAATTGCCATTGCGAAGTGTGCTCAGTTTCTCTCCCCCTGGCCTGGAACATGCCAAACCCAGCATCAGAGATCGTGCGACCATCATCGACGACGTCCAACCCTTTTTCGAAAGTAAACTTCTAGGTTCAATAAGTTAATGTTGCGTTCCGGCCGACGATTGGTAAGTGCCGTGTCGAAGGTGACGGACATGACGGCCATGTTCGAGTGTACGCCGCTGTCCTCGGCGCACATATCAGCGACTGGGACGTGTCGTCGGTGACGAACATGGACAGCGCGTTCTACGCCGCCTCCGCCTTCGACGGGGACATCCGCGATTTGGTGATCCGATGCAGTGGACCGCGGCCGCCGCCGGCGGGATATGTTAGACGCCTATGTTAGCCTAAGCCTTGAGCCAGGCCGCGAGCGGCGCCCAGTAGTCGGCCCAGTTGTCGAAATAGGCGTCGCCGGCGCCGCCGTAGGTCGCCCAGAGGTCGATCTCGCGGGCGAGGCTGCCCGGGGGCTTCGCGAGGTACGCGAAGCGCCCCGCGACGTCGGACGCGTTGTGCAACGTGCAGGTGGGGCACATGCCGAAGCCGAAGCGGTCGGGGCCGACGGCGGCCAGGCCGCGCACGGCCTCGAGCCGGTAGCCGTCGCCGGTGTCGTAGCCGTAGGTCGTCATCGCGATCCACTCGTCGACCGGGTACGCGCGGCCCTCGGGGCCGTTGGAGTCCCAGGTCACGCGCTTGCCCGCGGCGGCGAACGCCGCTTCGACGACGCCGAGGAACTTGGGCGCGTCCTCCCAGAACGTGCCCGTCGCCGTGGGCTCGATGTCGAAGTTGAGGCCCTGGAGGCCGTGGGCGGCCGCGTAGGCGAGCGCGTCCGCGGCGAAGGCCTCCGCGAGGGGCTCCGAGGCGAAGAGCGCGTCCAGAAGCGTGACGTCCGTCGTGTCGCCGTAGGACAGGATCGGGTAGAGCTCGAGGTCGTCGCCGAGGCGATCGCGGAAGAGCTCCGGCAGGTCCGCGGGCACGCCCGTCGGGTGGCCCATGCCGAGGTGCGGCGCGCCGACGTTGTCCGCGGCGGCGCAGTAGTGGTACGTGTGGCCGCTGACGTTGCCGCAGACGGCCAGCCCCTGGTAGATGATTCCCGTGAACGACGCGCGATGCGCCTCGAGGTGGTCCATGATCAGGCCTACCAGGTACGTCGGTGACAGTTTTTCATCGTGTTCCCGGTCAAGATCTCTCGAACATCGTCGAGGCCGCGGGACGCTGGATCGGACCGAGGCTCGTCAGATTCGTCGGCGTCGCCAGAAAGATGTTCACCTTTTTGGGGCGGAGGGCCGGCTCGCGGCAGAAGCCGTACTCGTCGAACGCGAACCCCGCGGCGCAGGCGTCGCAGCACTCCGCGAAGGTGCAGGCGGACGCCCGCGCCGCGAAGCAGCGGCCCGGGTAGGTCGGGAGGACCTCCCGGGACGCGACCGCGCCGGCGGCGAGCGTGAAGTCGTCGTTGGGCGCGCCGTAGCAGCGCGTCAGTTGGACGCCGGGGCCGACCTTGCCATGGACGTCGAGGCAGCCGCCGAAATTGCCCTCGTTGTTCGCGCAGCGCGGCGCCGTGATCGCGCCGCCGGCTTCGTCGACGGCGAAGTGCTGGCAGTCGCGGACCGTCGCGTTGGTCCAGCTGTCGCCGTTGGCGGCGTAGCACTCGCGGAGCTCCACGCCCTTGTGGTTCGGATTCCAGGAAAGGCAGAGCCCGCCACGCGTGATCGTGCGCAGGCCCTCGGCGTCGGCAGCCCCGAACGCCCAGCCTTGCTGCGCAGCGTCGCTCGCGTCGCAGGGCAAGGCCTCGACCTTGACGATGTTCGTCGAGCACCCCTTGCAGGACATGTCGCATTCCTCGGCCATCACGGAACCGAGGAGGAGCAAGACCAATTTCGGGATCGCCATCGTGAGCTTCTGGAGGAACCCAGCTTCACGTTGGCGACGTTGGACTGATTATTGAAGGTGTCGCCCGAGTGGCGCCCGTCCGGGGTCCGGGGAGGGGAGGGAGGCCCGCGACGATCGAGAAGAACTCGCATCGGTGTGTTATGTGGGCGAGGCTCGCCGGACGGCGAGCTGTCGGTGGGGGGAACGGGACGCGCGGGTCCGCGCGCGGGGTCGCTATGCGCAAGGTGGCGCGCCGGGCCTCAGGAGAAGGCGAGCGCGCGGAGGCCGCGGTCGATGCGCGCGGCGCGCGTGGGGTCGAGGGGCGGCATCTTGCCCTCCTCGACGGCGTCGTCGACGTTCGCCTTGAGCTCGCGCGCCTCCTGCATCGCCGCGGGCCCGCCCTTGGACGTCTTGAGCAGCGATTCGAGCTTCGTGAGGTCGTCGGCGGCGGACCGCGCGGACGTGCGCGCGCGCTCGGCGACGCGGTCCGCGTGCGCGCGGGCCACGGCGGGCTCGGGGCAGGCGACGCAGCACGCCGGGTACGTCGTCGTCCGCCGCGTCTCCAGCAACTTGGGCACCATGGGCCGGTCGCCGAGGGAGCCCGCCGAGTCCGCGCGCGCGCGCGGCCGCTTCCGGAGCAGGTCCGGCGTGAGCTCCTCGCCCTGGCGCGCCAGCAGCCACTGCACCGCCGCGTCGGCCGTCTGAGCCTCGCGCGCGCCCGTCGCCGCGAGCGCGAAGCGCGCGCGCTGCTCGTCGAAGCCCATCTCGAGCACGGCCGCCAGCGACGCGTCGTCGACGTCCGCGGTCAGCGCGATGAGCAGATCGTTGTCGTCCTCGGGCGTGGGCTCCGGCGGCGGCGGCGCCGACGCGTCGGGCGCGAGGATGGACACGACGTCGACCTGGACCAAGCCCGGCAGCGCCTCCGGGCACTTGGCGCCGCAGTTGCGGCACCGGTGGTCGCGGAACGTCGACGCCGACTGGGCGAACCCCACCTTGGCCAGCGCGTCCTCGCCGTCGACGGCGTCCTCGGCGACGTCCGCGTCCGTGACGCCCTCGCCGTCGGCCGTGATGAGCAGGCCCATGGGCATGGGCTTCCGCAGCACGCCGAGCGCGCCGTCGGGCAGCGCCACGAGCGACCCGGGCTCGGGCACGCGCGTCTCCGTGAAGGGCGCCTCCATGGCGTCGTCGTCCGCGCCGTCGGGCGCCACGAGCACGCCGAGGACCTTGGCGCCGTCGGCGACGATCTTGTAGTCGAGCTGGCGGCCCGACGCGTCGCAGGCGAACGGCTCGCGCTTCAGCGCGTCGACGGCGGCCTTGGCCGCCTCGGCCTCGCCCGCGTCGCCGGCCTCGAGCGCGGCCGCGAACTCGGGCCGCGACCGCACGTCGACGACGGCGAGCGACGCGTCGTCGCCCAGCGAGTTCACGTGGAGGTGGAGCACGTTGAGGCCGCGGCCCGACGCGAGCGGCGCCGTGTAGAGTTCCACGGGATCCAGGCTCAGCGACTGCGCGCGCGCGCGGCGGCTCCGGCAGCGCACGCGGCAGCCCGACTGCGCGTGGCGCACGCGCAGCCGCAGCGCCGGCGCCGACGACGCTAAACCGCCGTGGCCCCCCCGGAGCCGCGGCGGCGGCGCGGCCTCGCGCTCGTAGTCGATGTGGTACTGGCTCAGGGGCACGTCCGACGGCTCGACGCGCACGGGGCAGGCCTCGCCGTCGGCGCCGTCGAGGAAGTAGTGGACGACGACGGTCCGGTCCCGCGCGTCCCTTAGAATCTTCCGCGCCTCGTCGCCGTCGCCGTCGATGAGCCGCGCGGACGCGACCTTCTCCAGCGACAGGAGCCGCGCGAAGGGGAAGAGCCGCTCGTCGCCGTCGTCGGACGGCGGCCGCGCGGGTTCCCGGTCGTCGGAGTCGTCGTCGGCGTCCTCGGACTCGCGGTCCTCGAGGGGCTCCGGCGCCGCGCCCGCCGCCGCGCGCGCGTGGCGCGCGAGCCACGGCGCGCGCGGCCACGCGTGGTGCCGCGGGAAGAGGCGCTCGAAGCCGCCGCCGCCGGCGCACTCGGCGCCCACGGGGAGGCGGTTCGGGTCGAGGAGCGGCTCGACGTAGAGCGCGCCGACGAAGCCGCCGCCGCCCGCGCGCCGCGGCGGCGCGCCGCGCGCGCCGCCGGGCCCGCGCGCGCCGCCGCGGCCCGGCCGCGCGGGGTCCGCCTCGGGCGGCGCGACGCCGAGCACGCGGCAGAACCAGCGGCTCGGCCCGTCGCGCACCTCGAGGAAGGAGCCCATGGCGACGGCGCCGAGCCGCAGCCACGCCGTCGACGCGTTGCGCGACGGCGCCTCCCGACCCGCCGCCGCGCGCTGCGACGCCTCCGCGGACCGGCGCCGCTCGCGGCTCAGCGACTCGGCGCGGGCCCGCGCGCCCTCGCGCGCGATCTCGTAGAGCGCCGCGCGCTCCGCCGCGTTCGCCGCCTCGAGGGCCAACGCGTGCTCGGAGCAGACGGCGACCGCCGCCGCGAGCCGCTCGCGCCGCTCCTCGATGCCCATGGGCTCGAGCTCCGCGAAGTCCGGCACCTCCGGCGGGCGCTCCTCGTCCTCGTCCTCGTCGTCCTCGTCCTCGTCGTCCTCCTCGTCGTCGTCGTCGTCGTCGTCGTCGTCGTCGTCGTCGTCGTCGTCGTCCGCCGGCGCCATGTCCTCGTCGTCGTCCTCCGCCCCGGGGGCGCCCGGCGGCGCCGTCGGCTCGCCCGCGCCCAGATTCCGCGGCGCCGCCGTCTCGCGGCGCCCGGCGAAGGCCGCGATGAGCGCCGCGGGCACGCGCCCGATGACGTTCCGGAGCGGAGCGGGCACGAGGCTCGCGCTCCGCTGGGCCAGGAGGCCGAAGAAGCGCAGGCCCGGGAGCCGCCGCCGGCGCTTCGCCTCCGCGAGCTCGTCCCGCAGGCGCTCGTTCTCGTGCCGCAGCTGGACCACGAGGGCGCTCTCCGAGTCGTCTTCCATCGTATTCGGCTGCTTTTCGTCGTCCGGGCGCTGGGTTGTGTCTCGGCGCGTCGGCGGGGCCGAGTCGCGCGTCGAGGCGGACGCGGCGCTGTCGCTCGTCGCCCGGGCGACCCCGGCGCCCGCGGACGCGGCTATTCGGCTCCTACTCGCGACGACGCAGAGTGTTGCGGCCGCACGAGAGCGCGGCGCGAATGCCGCTGTGGCGTTTTTGCGCAGGCGCTTCAACGTCGACCGTAGCGGCGCGAGCATGGAGCCTCTCGCGCTCGCCTGATCGACGCGTAAAACACGCGAGAAACGATGGCCGCGCCCCAGCCCCACGCGCCCATCAGCACGGCCCACGTCGTGCGCGGCATCTACGCGCGCGAGGACGAGGCGGCGACTTTCCTCCAGGACGGCATCCCGCTCTTCGACACGGCGGAGCAGTGCCAGGCCTTCCTCGAGGCCCACTGCCAGTCCACTCAGCCGCCGAGCAACCCCGAGCGGCCCCACATGACGCAGCTCCTCACGACCTTGGTGAACTGGGACCAGGTCGAACGTTACGTGCTCGCCGCGCGGCGCGAGTACGACGCGCGGTGGCCGCCGCGCGCCTTCGCCGGCGCCGACAACCGCAACGTCTGGACGACGGGCGCCGAGGCGGCGTGCTGCGCCGAGGAGCTCGAGGCGCGCCTCGAGCTGCCCGTGCACCGCCGGCTCACGCCCGACGCGTCCGCGCGGTCCCTGAGATACCTCTTCGAGCACACGCGGAGCGGCATCTTCGTCAAGATCGCTAGAAACCGCGTCTGCCTCTTCGCGCCCTTCGTCAACGAGGACTACGCGAACCACTGGGGCGACGCGCTCGAGCTCGAGGGCGGGAAATCCGTGGAGGCGTACTACAAGGAGAAGCAGGCCTCGGGCATGCGGAAGGAGCACGTCCTGCCGGACAAGAAGGCCTGGTGGGCCAACGGCAACATCATCTGCAACGAGCACTCGAGCGCCGGCATGCCCAAGGAGCTGAGCCAGCTCTGGGGCGACCGCTTCGTGGCGAGTTTGCGGGACATGCTCGACCAGACGTGCGCGAATCGGACCAATCGGCGACTGCGAGTTCCTCGTGAACAAGCGCGACTACCCGCAGCTCAAGTTCAACGAGGACGCCGGCGAGTGCGTCGAGCCCTACGGGTTCCTGCTGGACCGCGACGACCGCGACCCGGCCGACGATCTGGCGCTGCCGCGGCCGTTCCGCGACGGCGCGATGGCGCCGATCTGTTCCTTCTACTGCTCCGCGCGCTTCGCGGATCTGCCGTTCCCGACGTCGGAGGACTGGGAGGCGGCCATCGGCGTCATCGTGCCGCCGTCCTTCGACCATTCGGTCGAGCGGGGCGCGCTGAAGCTGGACGCGAAGCCAAGAGATTTGTTCACGGAGGCCAAGTTCCGCCGGTTCGACTGCGACTGGGCGGGCAAGGCGGAGACGGCCTTCTTCCGCGGCACGGCGACGGGCGGCGGCGTCACCGTGGCCACGAACCAGCGCCTCGCGCTGGCGGAGTGCGGCGCCCGCTGGTCCGCGGAGGGCGCGCGGCGGCTCCGGAGCCTCGCGAAACTTTCGGCCGCCGAGTCGCGGGACCTCGCGCGCGCGGACGCGTCGCCGCCGCTGTTGGACGCGAAGCTCACGGGCTGGAACCGGCGCGACAAGAAGGTCGCGGGGACGCCCGTGACGCACGTCCGCCCCGCCGACTTTCCCTTCGACGCGGGCCGCCGCAACTTCGTGCCCATCTTCGAGCAGAGCCGCTACAAGTACCTGGTCTACGTCGAGGGCCACTGCGCGGCCTGCCGCTACGGCTTCATGATGCGCCTCGGGTCCGTCATCCTGAAGGTCGAGTCGAAGTGCGTCGCGGACACGATGTGGTTCTTCCCGCTCCTGCGGCCGTTCGTCGACCACGTGCCCGTGCGCGCGGACCTGTCGGACCTCGCGGAGCGCATCGAGTGGTGCCGCGCGAACGACGCCGCCTGCGAAGCCATGGCGGCCAACGCGAAGCGGCTCTACGACACGTACCTCCACAAGGAGGGCCTCATGGACTACGTCCAGCTCGCGCTCAACGGCGTCGCTCGACGCTTCGCGTACCCGCCGCGGTGGCTCGAGGCGCCGCCGCTGCCGGCCTTCGCGCCCGTCCTCGGCGCGCCGCGGGATTTGTGCGTCAACGGCGAGCTCTGCTCCCGCTGCAAGCTCGACGACGCGCGGGACCGGTGCCCCGTCGCGGCGTCGAAGAAGGCGAAGCAGGCGGCCCCCCCGGGGAAGCCGAGGCCCGAGCGCAACTTCTCCTCCCTCGCCGACGCGTCCAAGAAGAAGCGGGCCGCGCCGGAGGGGAAGGACTCGGCGAACGCCGCGTCCCTCCGCGCGCGCATGAAGCGTAAGAAGACCTAGCTTAGCTTCACGAGGCGCGCGTCCTCGGCGCGCCGTCGTCGTTGCACGCCGCGTCCGTGCAGGATATGAAGCAGCCCGCGTCGGCGCCGTCGTCGGGGGCGACGCCCTCCTGGTCCTCCTCGGTAAACAAGGCCGCCGACAGGTCGATGGCCCGTTCCACGGGCTCGCGGTTCGGCGGCGAACCGGCGCCCTCGGGCCGCGCGAAGTTGTGATGGCAATAGTTCGACGACAGCCGCTTCGCCGTCTCGACGCGCGCCGTGTGCTCCGCCTCCATGAGCGCGACGTCGGCGTCGTCGAGGACGCCGGAGCCGTCCTTGTCGTAGGAGTCGAACATGTTCCCGTAGAGCGCGACCTTCTCCTCGTCGACGAGCTCCATGAGCCGGAGCATCGTCAGAATGTAGTCCGTCTTCGCGACGCCGCCGACGTGGCGCCCCTCCATGGCCATGGACTTGAGGAGCTCGAAGTCGAAGCTGTCGAGGAGCCGGTGCTCCTTGGCCTCGGCGTGGAGCTCCGAGGAGATGTTGATGAGGCTCTTGATGCCCGCCGTGACCAACACCACGGACGAGAGGATGAAGACAACGAGGAAGCGCCGGCAGGTGTCGCCGTGCGTGAAGCTCAAGTCGCCGTAGCCGACGGACGTCACCGTCACCAACGAAAAGTAGAAGCAGTCGATCAGCTTCCACTCGCCCTTGTCGGACTCGCCGCGGAACTCGAACGCGACGAAGAAGAGGCTCCCCGCGAGGAACGGGCTCAGCATGAGCGACACGCCGAGCACGCCCCGCGTCCGCACGCTCGGGATGCGCGACGTCGACCGCCCCGCGAGCCGCTCGAGCAGCCTGAGCACCCGGTCGCCCACCTCCGCTAGAATCGGGAAGATGACGACGAGGCCTAGCACGATCCAGACCATGGTGAAGACCTTGCCCGCCGTCGTCTTCACCGTGATGTCGCCGTAGCCCACGGTCGTGATCGTCACCGTGATGTAGTACATGGCGTTCGTGATCGTGAACTCCTCGGGCCCGAGGTGGAGGTAGGCGGCGCCGACGACCCAGTAGAGGAGGACCTCGACGGTCATGCGCAGGTTCATTTGCCGGTCCAGGCACGAGATGTCCAGGCGCGCCTTCTCCGACGACTCGACGGGCCGGGGCAGCTTCGCCGACGGCGGCTCGCCAGGTCGGGGCTGCATCTCAAAGCCCATCGACCAATCTGCAAGCTCGCCCGGCGGTAAACGCTGGCTGAAACGAAACCCGGCAAGTATCCACTCATCCATCCATAACGAGCGCCCCCGCTCAGCGCAGCGCGACGCCGCGGCTCTCTCCGCCAAGGAGGTCGCACGAACCATGCCGTCGAACACGCACAACGACCTGAAGGTGCGCGGGCCGCCGGGATGGCTGGGCGGCCGACCGGGGACGCGCGCGCGCGCGCGCGCGGCTCGACGGCCGGCGCTCCTAGGTCCGGCAGCGCGGCATCCACTTCAAGGAGACGGGCTCCTGCTTCGACAGCACGGACCTCCAGAGCATCAATGCGCGCCGCCCGCGTCCGCGACCCGCCCGCCGCGACGGTCCGCGCCACCCCGCGGCGCCGCGGCCGCCGCGCGCCGCGCGCCGCGGTCCCCGCGCCGCGGCCGCGCCGCGGCCGCGCCGCGCGCCGCGACCCCCCCCCGTCCGCCGCCCCCCCCTCCCCAGACGTGCGAAGGACCGCCGACGACCGCCGCCTCCCAGGTGCGCGCGGGCGGGCACGAGAGCTTGCCGCGCAAGTCCGCGGACCCGAGCGCGTTTTCGCTGAGCCGGCGGACGAAGAAGGAGGTGCCGTCCACGTTCCTCAAGAAGGGCACGGGCACGGGCGGCACGGACGTGCGGCCGCCGGCGCCCGAGGGCCTCGAGGTCCTCTCCATCACGAAGCCGAAGACGAAGGTCATGGACTACCAGGCCTTCGCGGAGCGGCCGAATCCGCCGAACACGGAATTCCGACGATTCTACGAGCGCGGCGACCTGCCCGTGCAGATCGACCACGGCGGCGTCACGAACCGCATCGCCTGGAAGGTCGACATCCAGAAGCTTGACTTCCACCACTACCTGCCCATCTTCTTCGACGGCCTCCGCGAGGTCGAGCAGCCCTACGCGTTCCTGGCGGAGCAGGGCGTCTACGACATGATGTCTTCCGGCTGGCAGAAGGTGCTCCCCGTCATCCCCCAGCTCATCATCCCCATCAAGACGGCCCTCAACACGCGCAAGAAGGAGGTCATCGTCAAGGTGCTGAAGGTGCTCCAGGCGCTCGTCATGTGCGACACCGTGCCCGAGGGCCAGCACCTCATCGGCCAGGCCCTCGTGCCCTACTACCGCCAGATCCTCCCCGTGCTCAACATCTTCATCCGGCAAAACGACAACCTCGGCGACGGCATCGACTACGGCCAGCAGCGCCGCGAGAACCTCGGCGAGCTCATCATGGAGACGCTCGAGTACTTCGAGATCCACGGCGGCGAGGACGCCTTCATCAACATCAAATACCTCGTCCCCACCTACCAGTCCGTCGCATCACCTAGGGAAACGCCGAAAGCCCGGCGCGGGGGCCGCGGAAGCCCCGCGGCGCGCGCCGGCGCCGAACGCACCGACGGACACACGCCGCTCCCGCTCTCCCCCGGCCGCGCACCGCCGTCGCTCCCTCCCTAGCCCCCCGCGCGCGCCACCTAAGAACCTTTTAACATGTCCCGCACCTCCCGCACCTCGCGCGCGTCACCTTCGACTCCTTGCACCCAGTTGCACTGCTGTGTCCAGTTTTCATAAATTTTACACGATGATGGCGATCTCGTGAGCAGCCCCATGCTACGGTAGCATCGCAATGGCGACGCGCGCCGTCGCCTGCGTCGTCGCTCTCGCGGCGGTGCTCGACGGGCTCGACGCGTCGAACGGCACGGCGCCCGCGGCGAACGCCACGCAAAAAAACGCGACGCAACACACCGCCACGCCGTCCAAGGGCCCGCCGGCGCCTAGAAAGGACGACCCGCTCGCGCACGTGGCGTCGCTGCGCTTCCTCCACATCCCGAAGACCGGCGGCACGACCGTCGAGACGCTCGGCAAGGAGCTGGGCCTCCACTGGGGCATGTACGACGACCGGTTCCGCAGCAAATCCGCCGAGCACCGCTGCAGCGCCTGGCACGTGCCCCAGCGCCCGGCGAAGAAGGGCGGCGCGCACGACCGCACGTTCTGCGTGCTGCGCCACCCGGCGGAGCGCCTCGTGTCCCAGTTCCACCACGAGGCGCTGGAAGCCGCGTACTGCGACGGCGACCGCTTCGACGCGTGGGTCGATCGCGCGCTCGACCAGGCGCGGCGCGACAAGAATCATAGGGACTGCCACTTCGTCCAGCAGACGGAGTACGCCCAATTCTGCGATTTGTTCGCGCGGCTGCCGTCGCTCGAGGCGGACCTGAAGACGTTGCTGGGCTGCTACGGCGACGGCCGCGAAAAGCTCGCGAACCACAGCGTGGGCCACGTCACGGGCGGCGGGCGCCAAGAAGAGAAGCGCGGCCACGAGTCGCGGCGCGCCGTCGACGCGTGCGCGCGGAATCTGGCGCGGCGCCTCGGGAACTCGAGTCTCTTCAACAAGCTCTACGGCGAGGACGCCAAGCTTTTTCGCGACGCGCCGCCGCCGAGCTGCGAGCCCCAGAGCGTGCGCAAATTCAAGAAGTGGCCCCCGCCGCCGCCGAAGCCGCCGCCGCCGCCGCCCTGCGAGCTCGTGGACGGCACGCCGCGCAACGCCACCCGCAAGAGCCTCGAGGACTACACGCACAAGATCCGCACCGTCGCGCTCGAGGCCGGCGGCGGCAACGTCACCTGCGCGGACCGCCCGGCCGCGGGTTCGAAGCACAAGGCGCGCCTGGTCACGCAACACAACACCAAGGCGGCCCTGCGCGCCAAGGCGGCCGCGCGCGCGAAGCAGCCGGCGGGCGGCGTGGGCGCGCGCGCAGTGGCGCGGAAGCGCGCGGCGAAGCAGCGGACCACGAAGACCGCGCCCCTGCCGGCGAAGCCGCGGAAGCGGCCGCCGCGGAAGCGGCCCGCGGCGACGTCGCTCGCCGCGCGGCGCCGCGACCCCGAGCGGGGCGCCACGTAAACGGGCCCGATTACTGGCGCCTCGATCTAGGCGGCCTTGCGCTGCTTGAGGGACGCGACGTACGCCGTGAGCGCGGCCTGGACGTCGTCCTTGAGCGCGAAGTCGCAGAAGACCTCGGTGCACCGGGCCTTGGACTCGACGAGGTCCGTCGCGGTCTTGAGCCGGAGGCGGCGCTTCGTCTCCGCGCGGGCGTCGAAGGGCAGCTTCGCGAGCTTGGCGGCCGCGGCGACGGCCGCCGGGAGCGCGTCGGCCTGGTCGACGACCTCGTCCACGAGGTTCACGGCCAGGGCCGCTTTCGGGGGCAGCAGGGCGCCCGTGCCCGCGAGCCACTCGGCGTTGCGCTGGCCCACGGTGTTGCGGTAGACGTCGAGGAAGAAGTCCGGCGCGACGAGGCCGAACTGCGCCTCGTTGAGGCCGATGGTGAACTTTGGGTCGTCGGCCATGACGCGGTAGTCGCAGGCCGTCGCGAGGAGGCAGCCGCCGGCGGGCGACGTGCCGTTGACGCAGGCGACGGCGCCGAGGGGCGTCGTGTAGAGGCTCAGCCAGCAGTCCTGGACCGCCGTCCAGAACCGCTCGAGGTCCGCGCGCGACGCCGGGTCGTGCATCTCGAGCAGGTCCAGGCCCGCGGAGAAGACCGTGCCGTCGAACTTGGACGTGAGCACGAAGGCCTTGACGTCGCCGGCGTTCTCGAGCTCGCCGACGCCCGCGCGGATGGCGTCGAGCATGGACGTGTCGAGGCTGTTCACGGGGCCCTTCTCGAGGGTCAGGAGGCCGATCTTCGGCGCGTCGGGCACGCGGCCGACGCTGACGAGCGACCGCGTCGCCGCCCGCGGGCCGAGGCGCGAAATGAGAGCGCGAGAGACACCGACGAGAGCCATGCTTCTCAGTGTGGCAATTCTCGGTTTCTGCGAGCTCGAGAAGCGCCTCTCTCGACTCGAGAAGCGCGCCCCTGAGCGCGCCGCCGCAGCGTCCGCGCGCGCCGCGGCCAAACAGTCCAAACTTGCCCTGTCACCTCTTACCGAAGGGCCGCGCCGGGTAGAAGGGCCGCATCATGAAGAGGACGGACCCCTTCCAGGGCTTGAAGCCCACGGGCTCGACGTCGTCGCCGTCCGTGAGGTGCGCCATGTAGGGGAGGACCGAGTAGCCGAGGAGGCTCGTCTTGCTGTCGCACCAGGCGCGGAGGCCCGACGTCGCGTCGAGGCACGCCTCGGCGGTGCGCCGCTCGAGGCGCCGCAGCGGGCCCGGCGCCTCGCGCCTCGCGGCCGTCGCGTTGGCGAGCTCCGCGTCGTCCGCCGCCGTCGCGTTTTTCCCCTCCTGCTCCGCGGCCTTGAGCCGCTTCAACGTGCGCGTCGCGCCCGCGGCCACGGCCTCGAAGGCGGCCTCGGTGGCGCGGTAGAGCAGCGTGAGGCCCGGCGCGTACATGAACCACGGGCGCCAGCGGAGCGGCGACGCGTGGTACGCCAGGGTCGACCCCTCGTCGACGATGGTCACGGACCGGGAGAGGGAGAAGCCGACGCGCTTGACGGACCGCGCGCCGTAGTCGCTCGCCGTCCGCGCGTCGCCGCGCGCGCGCCGCGGCCCGAGGAGCGCGGCGAACGGTTTCGCGAGCGCCTTGAAGAACGCGCGCAGGATGTCCACGGGGTAGCTGATGGACAGGATGACGACCATGACGAAGTGGTTCGACGACGTGCGCGCCCAGAGCCGCTTGGCCTCGCGCATCGCGTCGGAGAGCTCCGGCGCGCGCGGGTTGACGGCCGACGGCGCCGCGGCGGCGTCCCACGCCGGCGGATAGACGATGACCAAACCCGTGGCCATGGGCAGGAAGCGGCTCCGCCGCTCCCAGAACCCGAAGTTCGGCGTCAGCGGCAGCTGGAGCACGAGCCCCGCGGACCGCGCGTCCACCGACCGCGAGCAGCCGAGCCCGAAGCCCCGGAACGTGAAGTCGTCTTTCACCCACTTTGCGCCGCGCCCGACCTGGCGCCCGCAGTAGAGGAGCGGGTTGCCGCGCTTCGTCGTCACGTCCTCCGAGTCGAAGAAGTCGATGGACCGCGCGACGCCGCTCAGCACCTTCCGCTCCTCGGCCGCGCCGGCGGCCTTCTGTTTCTTCCCCTTGCGCTTCATGACGCGGAGCCAGCGCCGCCGGCGCCAGCACGTGCCGCTCCTACTGGCGGGTTTCTGCTCCCAGTTCGCGGAGCCGTCCGGGGAATACTCCCAGCCGTCGTCGTCGCCGCGCGACCCGTCGGCGATCCAGTCGCTCGCCCAGGACCAGCGCGGCGGCGCGTCGGAGCGCCGCGCCTCGTCGACGACGCGGCCCGAGGCCGTGCTGAAGCGCACGAGCTCCCACTTCTTCTTCAGGCGCGCCTCGACCTCGAAGACTTCGACGAGCTGCTGCGAGGACCCGTCGGCGTCGGCGCCGGCGCGCGGCACGACGAACAGCGCGAGCGCGGCGAGCATTGTCAATGGGCGGACGCGCGCCATGAGTTTGCTTTTTTGGACTCACGGGCGCTTCACACGCGCGCGCGGCGACATGCCTGGAACAGCACCATCGCTTCTTGAAAAAACCTCAGAGAAGAGCTGCCCGTCGAGCACCGCGTGCGCTGCCGCGCGCGCGCCTCCGCACCTCGAAGCGTGCGCCGACCGCACGGCTCGTCGCACGCGTCGAAACGCTCGGCGCTGCCGGCGCGCGCGGTCGAACGATGCGCGCTCGCCACGACGCGACGACGCGCCTCGCCCTCCTCCTCTGCCTCGCGCCGGCGCTGGTCGCGCGCGCCGCCCACGTCGTCGAGGACGACGCGACGTTTGCGCCGACGGCCGTCAAGGAGGGCCCGCTGGCGCCCTGCGTCCAGCGCCTCGACTACCACCGCGCGGTGATGACCAAGACGCTGCTGTCCGTCTCGCTCGGCGCGTTCTTCCTGGGCATCTGCACCTGCACGATCTGCGGCGGCCTCTGCTGGTGCGCGTCGGCGCGCATCTCCATGTCCGAGGCCGGCGGGCTCGAGCACCAGTTCGACGCGACGTCCGCGCGGTCGCGGTTCCGCGAGTGGAAGCAGATGCTCAGCGGCGAGCGGCGCTCCGCGCCCGACGACGACAACTTCGGCATCTCCATGCGACGGCAGCGCTACGAGCGCGTCCGCAAGGGCGACGCCGCGGGCGACGACGTGCCGCCGCTCGAGGACGCGCACGTCGTCTAAGGTTTTGTGCTTCGCTCCCGGCGTTAGCTCCCGAGCGCCCCCGCGAGCTGCTGGAGGCCGAGCGTCGCGAAGGCGGCCGTCGCGGCGAGGCGCGGGTCGAGGGCCGAGGCGTTCGCGCCGAGCTTGCCCGTCCGGTGGCCGAGCGCCATGAGCCCGAAGGACGCGAGAAACGCCGCGGCGCCCATCGAAAACGACGCGTAGCCCGAGAGCCCCCCCGCGACGCCGCCCGCCAGATTGTTGAGCGTCATGGGCAGCGCCAGCTTCCAGGCGTCGCCCTTCAGCGCGAGGGAGGAGAGTTGGCTCGGCTCGTTCGTCCACCAGCCCACCGCTTCGCCGCCCGCGAGGTACAGAAAAATCAGGCCGGCCGCGGCGCCGGCGAGCTGCGGCGTCGCCTGTCCCATAAGGACGCCAGCCTTCGTCGACGCGAGCGCGCCGAAGGCATTCGCGGAGGAGATGATGGCGTTGAGTTTGAATTGCAAGTCACCGTGCATGCCGAGGGTGACGCCGACGACGAAGTTGTCGAGGGAACTCGTGCAGCTCAGGAGCACGAGGTGCAGCAGGGCCATGCCGGTCGCTGCCCGCCTAGGCGAGACCGGGCTGCCCGCTTCTAGCCATCGTGACGCGGCGCATGGTGCAAGGCACACGTCGGCAATGAGTCGGCCGTGCCGTGCACTGAAGAGCATCGCTCGCTCGAGGTGTGCCGAGGCGCGCCTGGCAGGAGCTGAGCGGCGGGCGGGGCTCCGCGACACCGGCCCATGAAGGTCGATAAGGCGGCGGCGCTCCTGGGCGTCCGCGTGGACGACGGCGAACAGACGATCCGCGCGGCCTACCGGTGCGTGGCGCAGCGCATTCGCTTCGGGCTGCCGCGCTTGCGGTTTCGCCGCGGCGACGGCCGGGGGCGGCCGCGCCACCCCGCGTCCCGCGCAGGCGGCTCGCGATCAAGTGGCACCCGGACAAGTGCAAGGACGCGCGGCCCGGCGCCGCTCCGGTCCCCGCGCGCGCCGGCCCGCGGCCGACGCGGAGCGGTCGACGCCGCACCGACGCAGGTCCCGCGCGAGGAGGCGACGAAGAAGTTCCAGGAGATCAACCAGGCCTTCCAGGCGCTGAGCCACTGGAAGGAGACGGGCACGGACCTGGACAGCGGCGACGAGGTCCGCGGTCGCGGCGACCGCGGCGCCGACGGATTCATGGATCTCGCGGAGATGATGATGTGCGCGCCTCCCCGCTCCCCCCCGCCGACGGCCCCCTCACACCCCCCGCCCAGGTTCTTCGAGTTCATGATGGGCGGCGCGCGCGGCGGCGGCGGCGGCGCGAACGGCGCGCGGCGGCCCCGCGGCGGCGGCGCGCGGCCGCCCGCGCAGTTCGTGGACGTCGACATGATGTTCGACTTCGCCTTCGGCGGGCGGCGCGGCGGCGGCGCGTCGACGGGCGCCCCGGCCCACTGGGGCGCCATGGACGACGACTACGACGACGACGACGGCGAGTCCGGCGAGTCCGGCGAGTCGGACGACGAGTGCGACGAGGGCGACGACCGCGGCGAGCCCGCGGCGGCCGCGCCGCGCGCGCGCCGCGCGGTGCCCAGCGGCGAGCCCGGCGCGCTGAGCGTCGGCGAGCTCAAGGCGCTGTTGCGCGACCGCGACGTCGACTTCAGCGGCTGCCTCGAGAAGAGCGAGATGCTCCACCTGCTCCTCGACTGGGAGGCGCGCCACGGCGGCGGCGGCAAGGCCGAGGCGGACGCGGCGCGCGACGAGGAGTCCGCGGCGGCGTCCAAGGCGAAGCGCGCGGCGCGGAAGAAGGCGCAGCAGAAGCGGAAGAAGGAGCGCCAGAAGGCCGAGCGGTCCGGCGCGCGGCCCTCCGACGACGCCGACGCCGAGCGCGGCGACGACGACGACGTCTCGGAGCTCCCGGCGGAGCTCGCGGAAAGCGCCGGCGCGCGCGCGCCCGACGGCGCCAACGGCGCGCCGAGCCCGCCCCCGTCGGCGCCCGCGAGCCCCGACGGCAAGACGTCGGCCGCGCGGCGCGCGCAGCTCCGCGACGAGGTGCTCGTCGAGGTCGCGAACGGGGCGGGAAAAGGGTGATTCAACGTCGCTTCAACGTGAGTGTTCCGCGCGCGCGCGTTTCGGAAACAGCACCCACGCTTCGAGAGCGCTCCGAGAGATGATCGCTCGTCCAAAAATCAGCCGAAACGAGCGGAAAACGACCGAGAGAGGAGCCGTTGACGTTGGGAACGTCGCACCCGTTTCCCGCCCAGGTCGCGAACGCCGTCGACGCGGGCGACGCGCGCGGCGCCGCGCGCGCGCTGAGCGCCGCGGAGCGCGTGGGTCTGGAGCCCGGCGGCCAGTACCGCGCCCTCTTCGACCACGCCGCTCGACTCGTCAAGGCCGCGGACGACCGGAGCGCCGCGGACGCGGAGCGCCAGCGCGCGAAAGAAGAGGCCGCGAAGCGGAAGCACGACGACAAGCGCGCGCGCCGCGAGCAGCGCAAGAAGGCCCTGGCCGACAAGGCCCAGGTCGAGGAGCGCGAGCGCGAGAAGCGCGAGGCCGAGCGCCGCGAAAAAAAGGCCGCGCGGAAGAAGGACCGCGCGACGTCCGGCGACGCGGCGGCCGCCGCCGCGTCGAGCCCCGCGTCGTCCGCGCCGAACTCGCCGTCCGCGCGGGGCGCGCCGCCGCCCGAGGTCGACGACTTCGCGTTGGATTCTGAAGCGTTGGCCGGCGGGTCGCCGCCGCGGGCCGAGGACGCGCCGCGCGCGCGCGAGCCGCCGCGGCCGCCGGTCGCGGCGCCGCGCGCGCCCGCGCCCGCGCCGCCGCCCGCGCCCAAGCCGCTGACGCGCGCCGAGCGCCGCGCCAAGGCCCAGGCGGAGCAGGCCACGTCCAAAAAGGGCAAGAAGGCCGCCGCGGCCGCGAAGAAGAAGGGCGCGGCCGCGAAGCCCGCGGGGTCGGCGTCGACGGCGCCCGCGCAGATGGACCTCGAGCAGCTCGAGGCGGAGCAGCTGCGCCAGGTCATGCAGATGTCGCTGGAGCACGCGGCCAAGGAGGAGGAGGAGCGCAAGGCCGCGGCGCGCGCCGTCGAGCGCGCGGATTTGGCGAGCCGCCGCGAGCGCGAGCGCGAGTTGCAACGCGAGTGGAACAGCAGCCAGCGCCGCGCGGCGGTGCAGCAGACGAAGCAGCGCGAGGTCGAGGCGCGCCGCGAGGCCGAGCTCCAGCGCGCGTCGGCGACGGCGGCGGCCGTGGCGCTGAGCGGCCTGCCGGGCTTCGAGGATCTCATCGGCGGCGCGCCGCCGGATCTCGGCGCGCTCGGCGACGACGACGACGAGCCCCGCGGCGGCCTGGGCGACTTCCCGTCCATGGGCGGCGACGCCTACGGCTACGGCGTGGGCGCGGGTTTGGGCGACGACGACTACGGCTACGCGCCGCCGGCGGACCGCGCGGCGTTCCCCGCGCGCGCGGCGTCGGCCGCGGCGGCCGCGCCGCCCGCGCCGCCCGCGCCCGCGCGCGCGTCGTCGCTCCAGGGCGCGGCGGCGGAGTTCCGGCCCGGCGCGGCGGCGGCGCCGCCGGCGGCGGCGCGCGAGCCCGCCGCGGCCGCGCCCGCGTTCGGCGCGGCCGGGTCGCTCGCGCGGCCCGGCCCGTCGGGCGCGTCGGGCTCGCTCGCGCCCGCCGCGCGCGGCGCCTTCGGGGGCGCGTCGCGGCCGGCGGCGGCGCCGGGGTCGTCGTCCTACGGCGCCCCGGGCCTCTTCCCCGGCGGCG